TCTAATGCCACTTCCAGCCCATAAAACAGAGCAGTCTCTACCAATCTGCTATTCTAGGAGTCTGAACTTCTAAAGACCCACAAGTGCTGATAACTCTTTTCAGAGGAGGGGCACTGGGAGTTGTACCCAAAGCCTTTGCACACTAAGCTATATCCCCAGCTCTATTTTTATAATTATTATTGCTTTTTATTTTGAGATAGGGTCTTGCTAAGTTGTTAAGTTGCCCAGGCTGACCTCAATTTTATACCTTCCTGCCTCAGCCTCCCAGAGTACTGGGATTATAGGCCAGTCACCACACTCAGCTAACTCCTAAGTCTTTATTGCCACTTCTCAAATAGTCCAAACATGGTTCAGCCTCAGGGCCTTTGTACTTGCCCTCTCTCTGCCAGGGATACTTTCTCATCAGCTTTCTGCATGGCTCCCTCTCTCATTTTACTCCACTGGTGGTCCACGCCTATAACCCCAGCATTCTGGGAGGCTGAGGCAGGCAGATCACAAGTCCAAACCAAATTTTTAAAGACCTTATCTCAAAATAAAAGGGCTGGACATGCAGCTTATTGAGAAAACCCTGGTTTCAATCCCCAGTACAAAAAAAAAGTGTCCAGGTCCAGTCCACCTATCGCTCCTTCCCCCACTGGGGTTCCCCACTACCTTTTCATCTCTGCCCATGTATGCTGCTTTGTTTTTCTTCTTCTTTTTCTTTGGTTGTTTGAGACAGGGTCTCACTATGTAGCTGAGACTGACCTGGAACTCACTATGTAGCTTAGGCTGGTCTCGAACTCACAGTGATCCTTCTGCCTCAGCCTCCCGAGTGCTGGGATTACAGGTGTGCGCCACCACGCCCGGCTTGTTTTCCTTTTTAAATCTGACATTATTATCTGCATATTTATTAGTATGACAACTCTCCTAGAATGTAGACTCCACAGGGTAGGGGTTTGTGTCCATTTTGTTCCTCACTACATATATTTGCAGGGCATGGAGTAGTACCCAACACACAGTTGGTACATTCAAATTATTTGTTACATGAATCTTTGTAATCCCAGCACTCAGGGAGGCTGAGGCAGGAGGATCGCTGTGAGTTCAAGGCCAGCCTGGGCTACATAGTGAGACCCTGTTTCAAAAAACCGAAATAAATAAATGCTGAATTTATTTACATATTGTCTGCCTCCCCCTACAATCACCAAATGTTAGCTCCACAATGGCAGGAGTTTTCACTCATTTCCTGTTGTGGCCTCAAGCCTAGCACATAGTAGGTGCTTAATGAATTCTTGTGGAGTTAATGAATGAAATGTCATGAAACAAGACTTCCAAAAATCAGAGCATCTGCAACCTGAGAGCCAAGGGCAGCCCAGTCATTTTATGTCCTGTGTTTCAAAAAGTGCTGACCCACATACCATCCTTGTCCCAAAACAGATTAAATTAGTCCAATCTCCTGCCTTGGTTAGTCCTCTGCTGGAGTCGGAAAGGGTGTGGGAGAATCCCAGAGCAGAGGGGAACTGGACAGCAGAGGAAAGGCCTGGAGGATGAGACTAGGTGAGGGGCAGGACTGATGAAGGAGAGCCAGGGAGGGGCCAGCTTTTGTGTTCCAAAGGCCTAGGCAGTGTGTGTGGGGGGTGTCCAAATGGTGGATGGGTGAAACTTAAGTGGGCCAGGGCCAATCCTTGGAGAAATTTTAGGAACTTTTCTTTTTTTGGTAGTGGGGATTATTATACCTGGGGCATTCATAATGAGCTACATCCTCATCCCATTTTTTACCTTTACTATTTATTTATTTATTTATTTTTAGACAGGGTTTCACTATGTAGACCAGGCTGGCCTGGAATTTGCAGCAATCCTTCAGCCTCAAACTCCCAAGTGCTGGGATTACAGGCATGCACCACTAGGCCCAGCTCTACTTTTTAATTTTTATTTTTGAAACAGGGGCTTGCTACATCATTAAGTTGCCAAAGCTGGGTTTGAACTTTCCATCCTCCTGCCTCAGCCTCCCAGAGCACAGAGATTAATAGTATGCACCATCACATATGGTTCAGGGAATTTCACGTTGGGAAAAGATGGTGCCCAGGGTGCTCAGGTTTGAGCCTCTTTGAAGGACAGCAGGAAGCAGCACCGGTGGTGAAGGGTAGGGTGTTAGAAAGAGAAGAGGCCTAAGGAGGGAATTTCAATCCATTGCCTCATTGGAAGGAAGGGATGTCTTTCAGGGGTGTAGGTTTGAGAGGATGGACGGGTATCCCTTGGCTGGGGACCCTACCCCTCAAGTCTATGAGCCAGGTCGCCCCTCCTTGAACTCCAAGGATCCAGCAACCTTTGTGGGAGGACTTGTCTCACCGTCACAGGTGCCCTCGGGGCCGGCGTGGTAGCCGGGGTCGCAGTCCCGGACACAGCGGTAGGAACCTGGGGAGTTCTCACAGCGCTGGGACCCGCACAGGGCCGGGCCCCGCTCCCGACATTCGTCAATGTCTGAAGGGAGAGGCAGAGCAGTCAGACAGGGGTGTAGGAGAGGCCAGGGAGGCAAGGCGGGGAAACAGAAGGGGATGGCAGGATCAGAAGGGAGAGAGGGGCAGCAGAGTCGAGAGGAAGAGCGGAAGGAGAAGAGGCGAGGAGGCAGGAAGAGCGGGACGGAGGAGGAAAGAAGCAGTGGGCGAAAAGCGGAGGTGGGAGTGGGGGACGGACTGGCCCGGAGGAGCCTCTCACCAAGGCAGGAGGCGAGGTCTGCGCCGGCGCGGTGTCCCGGAGGACACAAGCACTCGAAAGAGCCGTCGGTGTTGGTACAGATGCCTCCCTGGCAAAGGTCCTCTTCGCTGCACTCGTCCACGTCTGTGGGACAGGGCGTCCGAAACCCGGGCCCACCTCCCCCTCTGCTTAAAGTTCCGGGCCACGCCCCCGCCCTTTCCCAACCACGCCCCTCCCCGGTCTCCACCCCCACACTCCCGAAAACCCCGCCCCCAGGGTGCTGGCGAACTGAGCCACAAATTCAAACTCCTCATTCCGTTCTCCTCGTTCCGCCTTTTCCTGCTATAAGCCCACCCTTTCCGCGTCTAGGCCCAGGCTGAGAACTGACCGAGACAAGATGCTCCGCGGGGTCCAGGCCGGTAGCCGGGGGCACAAGTACAGGCAAAGGAGCCGTCGGTGTTGAGGCATTCGCCATGGGGGAAGCAGAAGTCGCCCTCCAGACACTCGTTTATGTCTAGAGTACGCTTGAGATAGGGCAGGGCTGCGGGGCTACCTGGCTCGCCCCACTAGGCCCTGCCCATAAAACTGTAGCCCCGCCCCCAGGCCATAACCCAGGTAACCGGAGCCTAAATTCTCCCCTCAACCCCTTTGTCCAGCATTCACCTTCCCCCCCGGCGCGCTTTGCCCTGGAACAGGACCTACTCCCAGGCTTTCCTGCGGCGCCTGCCCTGCCCACCTGCACAGGGCCCAGGCCGACCCGCCGGTGCCCGGTAGCCCGGTGCGCAGCTGCAGCGGAAGGAACCTTCGGTGTTGGTGCAGTGGCCGTGGAGACCGCAGGGGGCGCCCGAACTGCATTCGTCCACATCTGTGGGAACGTGGGGGGGTTCACAAGGGTTCCAGTCTAGGGACACCCTGGACATACCCCGCAGAGAAGAGGGGTCTGGGAGAGGTGATGGAAAGTGTCTTGTGTGGAAGACGGTGAGGGCTCTGTGGCAGATAAGGGTAGGGCAGAAGGAGGTTCTCGGGTCTGGGGACCTGGATTGGGAATCCTGTGGGCCTTGGTGTCTGGGAATCCCCTATGCTAGGATTCTGGGGTCAGGTGAAAAGACTGAATTGGCACAGGGACCAGATATTAACTATCATAAGGGGTCAAGTATTATAAACCAGGATCAGTGGATGGGATTCTGCTGAATAACGAGTTAGAGTTGGTTGGAATTGGAGACGAGTTCAGGTCAGAGGGTAGAGTTAAAGCCCATAATTCTGCCTCAAGTCAGGGGTCAGAGTCAGAGATCATGACCCAGTTAGGTTCTGGCCAAGAGATTCTGAAATGACCAGAGGGAGTGAAAGAGGCAGGATCGAGGGTCTGGGTTGTAGGAAGGGTTATGGTTAGGGTCAGAGGTCACATTCAGAGTCAGGGGACAGTCAGAGCCTGGAGATTTTCAGCTGCTATTAGGCAGGCTTGTGGTGAGGGGTTATCAGCCGGGATCATGGTTAGGATCAAATGTCACAGTCAAGTTTAACGTTTCGGAGTCACAGAAGTCAAGAGTCACATTGACCAGGTCAGAGACTGCAGTCTGGTTCAGGAGTCACAGTGAGGCTATGGGAACTGTGGTCCTGTAAAGGGGATGAAGTCCAGGTCAGGGTTGTAGGCCAGGTCAAGGGTCACAGTCTGGTTCAGGGGTCCCGATTCAGGTCCCAGGTTATAGCCAGGGCCTGGTCTCACCAGTGCATCTGCCATGCTGCAGGTGGTGGCCAGCAGCACAGGTCCTGCACTGGAAGGAGCCAGGTGAGTTCACACACTCCTGTCCAGGACACGCCAGGTGGTTCTCACACTCATCCACATCTGAGGAGCAGGGAAGAGGGTGGCCTTGAAAGAGCAGCCCCCACCCCTCACCCATCCATGCTCCTCCCTCCCTCCCTGGCCTCACCCTCGCACTCAGAGCCAGCATCGTTGGGTTGGAAGCCTGTGGGGCAGACACACTGGAAGCTGCCTTCTGTGTTCTCACACCGGCCATAGGCACAGGGTGAGGGGCTGCGGGCACACTCGTCCACGTCTGGAGCAGAGAGGGTCAGTCAGGCTGAGGAAGGGGCCTCCATCCCTATCTGCCTCCACATTCCAGTCTGGAGCAAGCCTCCATGGCCTTGTCAGGCTGCCTGCCCTCCTCCGTGTTTCCTTTCTTGCCTCAGTTGTCCCTTCCCAGGGTTTCAATATTATTGAAAATGGGAGGAACATCTCTCTTGAGTCCCCGCAGCAAGTGCTGGTGCAGCAGGGTTGGACCCAGCATCCTCACCTTGGCAGGGGGCCCCTGGTCGCCTGGAGCGGAAGCCAGCAGGACAGGCACAGTGAAAGGAGCCAGCTGTGTTGTCGCAGCGGCCCGGCCCACATGGCGGTGGCTCCTGGGCACACTCATCCACATCCTCTTCACACGCCGAGCCCCGGAAGCCAACCGGGCAAACACAGCGGAAAGAGCCAGGCAGGTTCTCACAGACCCCTCGGCCACAGAGGCCCGGGCTTTGGGTGCATTCGTCCACATCTGCATGGCAAGGGGCCCGGAGTCACTGCTCCTCTTTGCCCGACCCACTCCACTCTGGTCTCCATCACCCAGACCCACCTATCGCTCTTGTCTACCCCTGTCAATCATCAACTCTCCTTAAGCAGATTTCCCGGCTAGAAGAACTCTTCCTCACTAGGCCCCAGGAGTCAGTCTTTGTCCTCCATAACTGACCCCTTTGCCAGTCACTGGTGCCTCCAGATCTCTTCACTCTGCGTCTCTATCCTCCGAGGATTCAGCCTGTTTCCCACCACTTGACCTCTCCTACCCCAGGTCACTCTGTAGCCAAGTGCCCCTCCCCCAACCCCTCCGCCTCTCTGGTTCTCAGAACCTGGACTCAGTCTCTCCTGAGTCAGCCTCCTTTTGTCCCGTTGCTCAGTCTCTCTAACCCTCTTCCCTCGGCTTCGTCGCCCCTCTATCCTTCCCCTTGTACCCCTCTCCTCTCTAGCCCTTCCAGTCCCTCACCCTGGCAGCTGGCTCCATGCGGTGCAGCCTGGTACCCGGCAGGGCACACGCACAGGAAGCTGCCTGGCGTGTTCTCGCAGCGCCCGCGGTCACACGGCGGCGGCACGCGTTGGCACTCGTCCACGTCTGTGGGAAGAACCGGTCGTCTGGGACTGGAGCGAAGAGTCCCCAGAAAGCGGGGTGCGGTCCCGAGGGGCTAGCCCGTGGGACGGGGCGGAGCCAAATTTGGTTTGGCGATTGGCTGGGGGCGGGGAACAGGAGTGGTAGGCGGGGACTGGAACGAGCAGGCTTTTAAATCGCAGGCAGAGATTTCGCGGGAAGAGCAGGACGAGGGATAAGGGAGACTGGGGAAAGAGGTAAGCTGGGGAGTCCAAGCCCTAGGCACGGCAAAAGTGGTAAGGACAGTTTCGCGGACTGAGGGAAGACAGGAGCTGGGCTAGAGAAAGAAGGGGCAGTTTGGGGACAGGGCTCTGCTTGAGGGGTGGGATCAGGGCGTGGTCAGGAGTTGGCGGCGGCGCTGGCAGGACGGAGGCGGGGCCTGGGCGGGAGCGAGTGTGGTCGACAGGGCGTGGCTGGGGAGAAGGCGGGCCCCATGGAGAGTCCGACCCGCGCGGTAGACTAGGGCCAGGTGGGGGCAGAGCGGGATGGATCGACGGGTCAGAACCCGGGCCCGGGCCGAGCCGGGGCGGGACCCGGCAGCAGTAGCCCTGGAGCTGCGCGGGGAATGAAGGAAGGCCCAGGAGCGAGAGCAGGGGCTAGACCTGGGTAGGGCTGGGGCTGGAACCAGGCGGGGCGGGTTTCTCACCCAGGCACTCTGCAGCCCGCGGGCCGGCTCGGAAGCCCGGGCCGCACACGCAGCGGAAGCTGCCCGGCGTGTTCTCGCAGCGCCCGGGAGCGCAAAGCGGGGGCACGCGGCGACATTCATCCACGTCTAAGGACAAGGAAGGGGCTGGTCACCAGGTGACCCGGCGGAGCTCCCCCTCCCGCCCCGCGTCCACCCAGCTCACCGATGCAGCGAGTGCCCTGAGGGCTGAGCCGGAAGCCGGAGTCGCAGGCACAGGTGTAGCCGTTGGGCCGGGGTATGCAGCGTCCTGGACCACAGACCTGGGGGTTGCGCTGACACACGCCAGAGGAGGGACCTAGGGGTCCAGTCAGTCAAGTTCCCTCAACTCTGAACTGTCGTCCCTTCCATCTCAACCCAATCTCTTCAGTTCTCTACCTAAAACATTTCATCAGTGTCCTTCCCCAAAGACCATCTTAAGAGGGGAATCCACTCTTTTCTGATGGGACATTCTCATCAGATTCTTGCTTGAAATCCATTCACAATGCCACTTTCAAGTTCTCTTAAAAATTTTTGCTCTACAACCCCCTCAACCCCCTGCCTAAAATATATTCTTACTGCCCTCTGCAAAAAAAAAAAAAAAAAAAAAAATCTAACATTAACTGAGTGCTTTAACTGTGTGCTCAATACTTCAGAGACATATCACTGAAACCTCACAATGATCCCCATTTTACAGAATGAGAAACTGAGTCTTGGGCCAGGGATTTAGCTCCATGGCACCATGCCTGCCTTGCAAGTGCAAGGTCCTGAATTCAATCCCCCTTACCACATACAAAAAAAGAGACTCAAAAAGTGTAGATTCTTTTACTCAGTTAATAGAATTTGAACCTAATTCTCTACTGGGGATCACACCTGATCTATTTATCATCCGACCCTTCAACTCTCCTACCTCTCCCTACTCACTCCTTTTGCCTGTTTGTTCTTTCCTAGCATGTTTGTCTTATATCTTCAACCCCAGAACCACCCCACCAACACCCTCAATTCTCTCTACAGCACCTGATTCAGGAATCTCAGGACCAGTCCAAGCGGGGATGCTGGGCAGGGGAAGCTCAGGGCCAGGCCGGGGCTCAGGCCTGGGGTCAGGCCGGGGCTCTGGGCGATGGGTGGGCAGAAAACCTAGTAAGAACAGGATATCTGAGAGTGAAGACCTGAATAGGGTGTCCCCACTCCTTTCCTCCTTTACCTATGGGCTGGGGTGGACTCTTGAAAATGTCACCTCCTCCAGGTGCCACCTCACCTGTGGGTGACCGGGGGGTAGCTGGTATAACTCGTGGCTGGCCAAGGGACACTCGAGGTGGCTCCTGGCTGAGGGGCCTGGTGTTGTAGCGTAGATCAGAGGCCGAGTAGTGGTAACCAGGCCCAGCTGGACAGATCTCCCGAAAACCCTCTGGGAAAAGGTCATGAGGTAGGAAGAGAGAAGGCCAGAGAAGAGGTGGGAATGAGAGGGAGGAATCTAGAAGCTACCTTGGATGGGGATAGGGCTGGGCCTGAAGTGGCTTAAGGGTTTGGCATGGGTGTTGGCATGGAGTGGAGTAGGGCCCTTGAACAGGACATCTCAGAGGCCAAAGGTGGGGCCACAGGAGTTTTTCTCCTTTTGGGATGATGGACTGGAGTTGAGGGCAGGGTTTAGTTTGGAGTCTCCAGCGACTGAGCTGGAGGTCAGGAAACAGTCCTTGGTGGGGCTGTTTAGGCAGAAGCTAGAATGAGAGTAAGGTGTCTCAGGGAGGGGTGAATCTGGGGAGCGACCTAAAGGGGGAGCCTAAACCGAAGGCGGTGTCTCAGGAGCAGGAGCCTTGGCCAAAACGCAGGCACATGGTTGCAAACCTCAGGGACTGGAGGTGATGCTTGACAGACACAGCTTAACTCCAGGACGGTGTGGGTGGGGTTGTGTGTGGGAGAAGTCCTGGGCAGAGTCCAGTTTGAGGCTAGCAAGTCTCAGGGGTTGGGGCATGGCCTGTTTTGAGCTCAGCGACCCTCCAGTCAGGAGGCATGGCCCTTTGGAAGTTTGGACTAATAGGGCTGGACACCTAAGGAGACACTCACCTGAGCCAAAAGGTGGGCAGAGCTGGCACCCTCGGCCCCAGGCCTTGCCCACGCGGCTACAGCAGCAGATCTGCTTGGTGATGTTTCGAAGAATGGGCAGTGAGCAGCCACCATCTCGAAGAACACGGAAGCAGGGCCCCTTTGCCTCTGAGATCACGTGTTGAGCTGGGAGGGGGAAAGAAATTCTTAAGGCCAGAATGAGAAGTGTGGCAGTACCAGGATCTAGGAGGTAGGGGAATGGTCCCAAGGAGTTTTGAGGCCATGAGGGGCATCTGAGGGGGTGTGAAGGAGAGCTGAGGACCGGGGGATGGATCCGAGAAGGTTTTAAGGGTTGAATGAGAGACTGAGAAGAATCTAGGGGTCTAAAGAAGGTCTAATAATTGAGAGGTGAGTAGGTTTGGGATCTGAAAGGAGCTCAAGAAAGCCTAAGAATCTGAAGGAATCTTCCATCCAAAATATTTGAGGGGTTTTGGAGGGTCTGGAGAAGGTGCACGGAGTCATCTGCAGGTCTGAGGAGTCTTAGAAGTTCGGAGGGGTCTAAGACTGAGGGGCACTTGGGAGTGGGGGAGTGGTCTGAGGGAATGAAAGGCCTGGCAATGTCTGGGTTGTCCCCTGAGGTTAGAAGGCTTGGGAGCCAGCCCCAGCCCTCTCCTAGCGCCTCACAGATGCAGCTGCTGCGGGATGAGTCGAGCAGGAAGCCATCTGGGCACACGCATGTGTACCCGCCGCGCGTGTTGGCACACTCCCCGTGCTGGCAGCGGCCACCTGTAGCACACTCATCCACATCTGCCAGGGTGGAAGAAGTCACAAGAGGTCGGGGACTTGAGGCTGGCCAGGCCCGCCCTAGAGCGAAACTCCTCCCTCCTTCCCTCCTCTGCTCCTCCTCACCTACGCAGGATCCATTAACCCTCTCAAAGCCGGCCGGACAAGGTCCATCTGGGGCACCCACTCTGTCAGAGCTCCCTGTGGACAGAGGATTGGGTGGGCAAGCGAGAAGGAAGAGGGCGGGGACGAAGATGGGAGGGAGGGACCAAAAGGTGACCAGTGCGGTTTGAACACAGCCTTTGGTAGGTGTCAGGAAGTGACCGGAGAAGTGCCTCGGTGGGGCCAAAGTCAGAAAATGGGATGGGTGGATCCAGACCGGAAAGGATAGATCTAGACTGAGTGACCTCCAAGAGCTGGTGGCTAGAATCTGTGAATGGGATTTGTCTAGGGGAAGAGTGGGAGAGACGAGGCTCTCACCCCTGCCCAGCTCTGAGCGCCTCGGGGACAGCCTGGGGCTTACCCAGGTGCTCGGAGCACCGCTGACAGTCGTGAACGCCCCAGGCCACACCGGCCCCTCGGCAGCAGACGTCCTGAGTCCGGAGCCCGGGCAAAGGCGACGCACACTGCGGGCAGGTGTTAGGTGAGCGCGCTCCCGCGCGGCGGCGCGCTCCGGGCCCCTTCCCACCGGCTTTATTCTCACTTCGCCTCCGCGC